TCAACAATTATGTTTTTATCCCCGATTTTCCCCCCTTTGGCGAAAACAAGGTGTAGTCGGGCCCACTATCGTTGCAGTTTCCGTTTCCTGTGAAAGCTTTGGGCATGTGCCATGTCCACAGTCCGAGGCCGGAAGAGGACTTTGAAGAATGTGCATTTATTCGGGTCACCATGACAGCACGACTAAGTTGCAATCTATCTTGCTCTTTAGATCTAACGGTTTAGAAAGTTGTTGTGGCCTCTTTTTTGATCGGTCTTTTCTTCTACTGCATAGTATTCATTTTACCTCTTTTTCGCAACTCAATCGTGTTGTCAAGGTGATCTAGATGAAAGCTTCTTGTCCGATGTCCTCTGTTTTAGTAGTCATGACAATTTATATCATCGGACAATGGACTTGGTATATTCCAAGGTGCTCCGCCGATATCGTAGTTGGCGTTGTCAGTGGGTCTTGGCACCAAACTACAACTCGACAATTTGTCTCTTACGCGTTTTTATTAGATGCTATGAATGACAAGACTACCTGACGAGGTCGGCGAAACTTATCTATATGTACGAATTCCACGGATTTATCAGAACTACTATGACAGAGGACTTCGGACAAGATTAGTCCATCTATGTCGCCCTGACGACACAACAAAGCTGCGAAAGCGAGGCCAAACCACTTCAATACTTATTTACATTCTGGTGAAGCCTGCTACATTGTCATGCCAACCGAAGGCTACATCAGCGTATCTCAGGCAAACCGGATTGTCGGTTCGTCCTCGCCTGATTCTGCGTTACCCAAAACGAGCCCGGCAGACGAGTCGCGGGACCCTGGCCTCAAATCGTCCAGCCTGGTGCATGCCTACAGCGGCGCCCATATAGACATTAGACCAGTGTTGCGATAGCCGGTATGACGAGACTGCAAGGCATTTTGTGTAGTGACGATCCCGTCTATCAGCGCATCTCTGATTGATTGCATCTCCGACCGTTGCCTCATAGACATATTTATCTCGCCGGTCCCCTGGGCCAGTGGGTTGGCTACCCCCTCTCCAGAACCATGCATGCCTCCACGCTCACCTGCTCTCTCCAACCCCCGAAACCGACTCTTTTACCGGTCGAGAGAGTGTTCGGCTGCCACCGAAGTATCCCGTTGCTCCATTTATGCTTTGTTGCCTAACGCCTCTCTGCAGAGTTGTCTGTCTGTATTTATGTCGCTCACAGCGTGTGTGCGGCAGCAGGAAGAAGAGGAGGAGGAGGAGAAGGAAGGGGGTTAAAGGGATTGGTACAGATGGCCAGTTAAAGGGGTTCCGCAGAAGGCGCCCAACTTGACTGGCAGCGGTCTCTGATGGCGTCGGGTCAAGGCAGGGAGGGCTGGGGGACATGGTACCCTTAATTGGCCGAACGGCAAACCATCTGGCCACACCGTCCTGTCTAGTCGGTTATTGCACTCTTCAGGGCATGTTTGAAACTGATATCGCGTACGGTTTTATGTCCAAACTTTACAGTTGCAGTGCCGTGAAGATACAGTTTCAACGCCGCCAGGGTGGTTAGAAGCCCAGTTCAGGGAATAGACAGACCACCCGTCGTCATGGCGTCACTCAGTCGGCAGCAACTTGGCATAACTCTATGCAAATGCTGGTGCTTGTGCAATTGCACTTGTGTACGCAACTACCTGAACCGGCAGGACAGTCTATAAGTGAAATGTGAGCCAGCGGTGGCGGACCATTTACAACCGACTCAGCTGTCCCTACAGACTCACCAGCATCACCAAGGCCAGTCCCAGAAATGCCATAACTAACAGGCATTGTCGATGCGTAAACTGAGGCTGGGCTAGTGAAACTGCCCACTCAGCAACACATCACTCAAATCGGGCTGCAGAGTGAAGCTGCTGGGAAAAGTATACAAGTGGTCGGGGCAGAACATGCTCAAAAGAGCGATCTCGGTGACAAGTGATCATCTTATCGGCCTTGATGACGTGATTACAACCTCATGCGGTTCAGTAAAAGAAGGTTTTTGATGCTATCACCCCTTAGCGCGACATAGACTGGCAGGGACTCATATTCCAGATTTACCTGCTTACTTTGTATATAAGTAGTGTAGTCGATTATGGTGGCAAAATACAAGCTTGCCTGATCAACAATCCCGCAATAAAATGTCATATGAGAGTGGCCTGGCTCGCAATGAAGTTCACTCCTTCGCCGTGACCCATGAACACTCGTGAAAATGTGGGATAGTTCTACCATGTTGAGATTAAACGCTACACTTCTCGGGTTCGATTTTCGATGAAGGTGCGGCAAGGTCGAAACTGTACTCCACTCCAGTCTG